AAATTGATATTCTCTTTCGTATCGATGACATGGAATATTTTGGTTCAGAAACGTACGTTGATGAAGATCCACAAAACACCAAACCGATTTCTTACAAGCAAAAACTTTTCCGCGAAATGAAGGATCAACTAGATTGTCTCTTAAAGAAATTAAAATTTACAAGGGAAACAATCAAGGAGATAAAGAATATTGCTATACATGGAATAAATCAAGGAGGTAGTTATGGAAAGTAATGTAGAAATTCTTATATAAATTATTTTTCTGAAAACATTCTTATTCAATAAAGGTCTTAATGGAAAGATCTATACAATGTATTATGATGCTGACCTTCAACATTATTTCGTTTTCGAGACATGTCAGTATCGAATTGGTACTACGTGGGGAAGTATTTCGGAAAGCCTTGTGTCTTTAAAAGATATTTTATGTTTAAAGGTATGTCTTTTATTGTCAATTTGCTGGCGAATTTCATTCTTACAAATTTCATTTTATGATTACTGTAGAATGATATAATCAACGTTCTTAACGCTGTTAATAAAACAAAAAGAATCGCCTTACGCACAAATTCAGAGGATTTATTTACAATTAATAATCTTCCAGAGACACCACCATCCCCGAAAAAAATTCAGTAAAGAACAATATAGTTCGATGTTGGAATAAGTGGTAGGTTATTTGTTATACTGCGAGTCAAATTACAGTCTTACATAATCGTATTTTTGAGAGAGAGGTCATTTCTACTGTGATGACTTTGGAAAGTTGCGTGTATCACGTATTTTAATTTTCTTAGAAAAACTTCTTCATAAAGTAGAATCACGTGTTTTTATTTTTCCTGCTCCGGAAATTTCGGTCACATGATTCTGATCGTGACTTTTGGGAGGGAGTAAATTCTTATCATTGATCCCCCTTTTCTTTAAATATGATTGGTCAACAATGTGGTACAAGTGATCATTATCAACCACAAAATTTTTAGAATACGAACTTTTTTACGACGAAAGTGAGCAATCAAATTATTAAAAAAAAATAAAATATTTGAAACTTGAATTTTATGAAATATAAATTTGTATAATAAATTTTTTTTATTTTTATTACTTTAAAATGTAAATAATTAAATATACAGATATACATGTAAAAATATACAAAATACTGTATATAATAATTAACAAATATGTTTGAATATCCAACCGAATACAGTCAGATCTATGAACTTATAAATATCGGTATAATTTTGATAATAATGATATTTTTTTCAAGATTTTCAGACACATTATTTTAACAAAATAGACCACTTATATGTACAATTGTTTATATCATGTATTTTTATCCAGTAATTCTTCAACTATAAATTAATCTAACCTATATTATATATAGCATTTAATAACATATTGTCAGCATTGTAATTACGCATAAACCTGTCATTTTGATTTCTTTTGTCAATCAATGTATCAATATTATTAGTGATAGATCATTGATGTCACAAGATTACTATGCTAACCATGTGATCTTAAAGAAAATGATAATTACTGTGATCACAAATATCATGATTCTCACTGATATCACTATTATCATAGTTTTTACTAATATATATTAGTTTTTATAGTTATAATTATTCTCTTTATTATATTAATATCATTTGATTATTCTTGTAATTTATATAAATATCCTATATAATTAATTATCTTAATAAAAGGTATAAATCAAATATTAATATAAACATGTATTTTATTTAATCTATATTTCTTTAAATCAAATCTTAATAAATATGAACTGATCCTTCTATTAATTAATTTGTAATTATTTTTTTTATAGTTTAATAAACTTAAACTTTTTGTTAACAAATAAGAATTATTAATCTAACAATATATAATTTAAGTTAGAGGTTGAAACTGATTATCAATATCAGATTTATAATCAGTTTTAATCAGTTCAGATTATAACTGGTTAAATATTTTATAAAATCAATCATCTGGTTTTATTATAACCGATTAAAAGTTTAAACCAGTTATCAGTATCTAACTATAACCAGTTTTATCATTTTTTATTCTGCCGATCTGATAACCAAATGTGACAAAACTCATAAATTTATTAGTTAAGTCAGCAGTACATGATATATCAGAATGAGAAAATACTAAAAAGGAGATTTTGCTTTTTATAAACATATCCGCTTAGGCAAATTTTGTAATTTGTATTACAGAATACCAGAAATATTAAATCTAGATAATTTAAAAAAAAAATGTCATTTTTTTTGTCTTTACATTCAGTTTCAGATAATGATAATGATCCTAACAATACACATTTTACACAAAAAAAACAAAAATCTAATGTAGCAATCAATCGTAGTAATCAAAGTCATACCTTTTTTTTAAATTGACGATGATAACTCTGAATTAGCATATTGTAAAATATGTGAGCTAAATTTTACAGGAACAAATAAAAAGCTTATGCATATACTCGTAAAGGTGGAAATACAACAAGTATGATAAACTATTTACGAGAAAGGTATAACATAATCAGAAATAATTATACTTAATACTTGGATGAATATAACGAGGTAAAATTAAATTATTGAATTTAATAAGCAATTATTTTTAATTGTATTTTTTAAGAACTTAGCTGGTAATGTTTTTATTAGCCAAAATGCGATCAAACCTAAGTTACTGATTATTACAATAATACAAATAATGCAGCACCATCATGTCCAGCTAAAAGACAAGATTTTTTAGCAAGGAAATTAATCCAATTTATCATTTATTTTATCTTATCCTTTATATCTTACAAAATTGATATTTTCGTAAATTTGTTTATGCGTGTGAGCTAGAATTTTGTATTCTATATATTAAAACTGCTAAGGAATTAATACATGAAGCGTATAACTGGAGTTATAACTAACTCAGCTCCTTACTTTGTAGTAGTGTAATGAGCATCCATTTGATTACCAATTTATGGATTGCGAAATCCTAACATAGTTACTTAGGTGTAATAGTAACTTGGCTTTTTTCTGATTAAGTTTTAAGAAGCTCTTCTTTCATGCGAACATCTTCCATATCCACACACTGAAGAAGTAATTAGTGAAGAGTTATTTCGAATAATTTGCGAATAGCGTTTTGAAACAATGATTTTTACTATTGCTATAGACAATGATACTAACATGGTCAAGGAAATATGATTATTAAATAATAATTACATTAGCAGTATAGAACATCAACTGTGTGCAACGCATATATTACAATTATCAGTTCAAGAAGGATTGCAGCAATGTAAAGCTGTACATCGCCGTATCAAAAGCTTGCAGACTTTTTTTAACTTCCTAAGCAAGTCAACGTTTGCGTAAAATGCAAGGTGAATCTGATCAGTCTGAAGGAAATACTGTTCAAAGTCCTCTTAATCTTTTAACAGACGTAAGAACCAGGTGGAATTTCACCTATCTGGTTTGAAAACGTGTTTTAGAGTTGCATAATTATATAAGATATATTTCAACTTCTTTACTTTCTGAATCAGATCACATTTTCTAAAAAGAAGGCGAAAAGTTAGAACGCCTTTACTTATTAGTTGTGAAAAAAGAGTAATTATTTTTTTTTAACTTTTACTTGATTATATTTTCTATTTTATTAATTTTTTTATTTACATTAATAGATTTTTACAAGAAGTTGTAAAGTTATTGAAGCTGATCGAAATTGTAACCTAATATTTATGTAGCGTAAACTATCCAACTCTTAATCTTGTTCACCTATATATGGAGTCTTTTAAAAAAAGTTTGTTCTGAGATCAGACAAAATGAAACGGTCAATTCCTATCTGAATCTCATTTATGGAGAAGGCTATGAAGAGAATGATGATAAGATATCCGATAATGATATATCTACTGCTGGTACTCATCAACAATAACAACATACTCATCAACAGTTTAATCAAAGGATAAGTATTTGTAGCTGAGAAAGAGGATGAACTCAACAGGGACCAGCTAAGAAATGAATACGAATTGAAAGCATTGTAGAAGATACAGATAAGGTGAAATATATATCACTAGTTGATACTACCAGATTGCTTGAAAGGATTCGAGTCACAATTTATCTTTCATTAGATGAATTATGGTCTGTTCCATCTGATAATGCCTTAATTGCCACGTTTCTTGATTCAAGATTTAAACATTTCAATTGGGCAGCTAATAGTGAACGAGATAAGATATATTAATTAGTAAAAACTTTATATGATGTATTGAAAGTAAATTTTCATATTTCAGATGATATTAAAGATAGGAATCAAGATGATGATGATGATGATGATTTTTTTCACAAACTTGAAAGCGATGACATATAAATAAACACAGGTGATGATAACAAAATATTACACTATGCAAATTTAGAGAATATTAAGGTTAAAGAAGACCCATTAATTTGGTAGGTAAATTATAGAGATAGTTTTCCTACTTTATTACAGCTTGTAAGAAAATATCTTTTGATTCCAGCAACTTTAGTGTCAAGCAAACGATTGTTTTCTAATACCAGTAATCATATTTCTATAAAAAGAACTCATTTAGCACCTGACATAGTAAATAAAATTTTATTTTTAAAACGTAACAGCATCCATTTTAAAATGTTTTCACTACAAGAAAGTTAATAATTTTGTTTTAATAATTAATAGTTTACTTAATATTTTTAATAATAATTGAATAACTAATGCTAATAACAATACTTTTATTGAATAAATAATAATAATACAATTAATGCAGATTTAAAAAAGTTTAATATTTAATATTAATAAAGTAAGCATTTTTACACCCATTTTCATGAGACCCACCTATTAGGTTCGCTATTCTAGTATAAAACTTCTAACAAAAATTCAGTAGACCGGCGGGCTCAAAAATTTATTTAATCCCAGATCTTATTTTATCAGTTTATCAATTATTAGTTCTAATCAGATTATCGGTTTATCAGTTATTGATTCTTACTGGTTTATCAGTTTATCGATTTAAACTGGTTTATATGTGATTTTGATTTTTGGGATACAAATAAAACTGGTTTATAAAATCAAAACCGGTTCTAACTTCTAGTTTAAGTTTAATAGAGTAAATACTATCAAAAATATATTTGTAGAAAATAAAATAAAATATTTAAATTTTATTTATAGTATGAATTTTAGAATACACTTGGTTTATTTTTATTTCTTATATAAAAAGAACAACTTAGACAAAAAAATAAAAGATAATAATCAATGACTTTAAAGTAGATTTTAAAATATATTAATACACAATGACACCTATATCTAAATAACTTTACTGAAATACATAAAATCAAAGCTAGGTAGTAATCATGTAGCTACTACATATGGGCTTCATCAATAAAAATACAGTATCTGACAAAAAAGCTATTTTAATGTAATAACAACAAATGGTGATTTATTATTAGAATTATATGCATCTCAAAATTGAATTTCTACCGATATTTGCTATAACAATCATTTTTATAATTATTCGTCATTAGAATTTTTTGTGTATTTATTCTTTAAAATATTTATCTATAATTATTTACAAATAATTTACATATTATTTACTTATATTATTTTCTTACATATTATTTTTTTACAAATAATTTACATACTTTTTTTTAAGAGATTGTCTTATGAATATAACTAATTAA